TGTAAGACCTGAAACCATAAAACTCCTAGAAGAAAACATAGGTAGTACAATCTTTGACCTAGATCTTGGCAAATTTTTTTTGGATCTGTCTCCTCACGCAAGGGAAACAAAAGCAAAAATAAATAAATGAGACTACATCAAACTAAAAAGTGAAGGAAACTATTAAGACAAAAAGACCACCTACTGAATGGAAGAAGATATCCACAAAAGATATATCTGATAAGGGGTCAAAATCCAAAATATACAAGGAATTCATACAATTTGACAGCAAAAGAAACCCAACAACCCAATTAACAAATAAGCAGAAGACAAGAATAGACATTTTTCCAAAGACATACAAATGACCAAGACACTTGAAAAAACATGCTCAACATCACTAATCATCAGGGAAATGCAAATAAAACCACAATGAGATATTGCCTCCCACCTGTCAGAATGGCTATTATCAAAAAGACAAGAAACAACAAGTTTTGGAGAGGATGTGGAGAAAAGGGAACCCTTGCACACGGTTGGCAGATATGTAAATTGGTGCAGCCACTACAGAAAACAGTATGGAGGTTCCTCAAAAATTAAAAATAGAAATACCATATAATTTAGTTACTCTATTTCTGGGTATTCTTCCAAAGAAAACAAAAACACTAATACGAAAACATATATGCACATCTATGTTCCTCACAGTGTTATTTACAACAGTTAAGATATGAAAGTGACCTAAGTATCCAACGCTAGATGAATGGATAAAGTTGTGTATATATGTGTACACATACACACACACACACACACACACACACACACACAATGGAATATTACTCAGCCATAAAAAAAAAGAAATCTTGCCTGCTACAACATGGATGGGTCTAGAGGATATTATGCAAAGTGAAGTAAGTCAGATGGAGAAAGACAAATACCATGTGATTTCACTTATATGTGGAATCTAAAAAACAAATGAACAAAGGTAACAAAACAGAAACAGATTCATAGATACAGTGAACAAACAGGTGGTTGTCAGGAGGATGGGGTGGACGGGATGAGTGAAGTAAGTGAGGGAGGTTAAGAGGTAAACTTCCAGTTACAAAATAAGTAAGTCAGGAGGATGAAATGTACAGCATGGGGAATATAGTCAATAATGTAATAACTTTGTATGGTGACAGATGGTAACTGTGAGGATCATTTTGTAACGTACAGAAATACTGAATCACTATGTTGTGTATCTGGAACTAACAGTGTTTTAGGTCAATTAAACTTCAATAAAAATTTTAAAAATGTGGATCCTTAAAATTATTTTCCTGATGTACTGGATTCAGATTTATTAAATTTTAGAACAGACTTCAATTTTATTTTTGACCTTCACATATTCCACCTGGTAACTTAAAAACATTATTTTATTAATATTGGTTTTTAAGTATTCCAGGAGGCTTATGAGAAAAATCCTGTACTTTTTTTAGTAATACAAAATGGACAAGATAAACATCTTGACTAAGTAACTATAGACTGAGACATAAAAAGGACAAAGGTAATACATACTTCCTGATTATCTTCCAATTTCACTAAAAGTGAGTAATTTTTTTCTTTTAAAATCAAAATATCATAAAACTAATTGGGTATCTGCCCTGAGAAAAACCAGATGTTCAAGTTGAGTTGAGTCAACAGCAGTATAACAAAGGGATTTTTTTCCTCTAACTTCCAAATAAATGATTTCAAAAGGCAATTTAAAAGACTGACAGCAGAGTCACACTTGGATAATCCTATCTGTGAGGTTGCATTTTTTCCTCCCTCTTCAGAGTTCTCTGCAATTATCCTCCTCACAATGAAAATGCTTCTCTGCTCCTAAGATGAATTGATTTAACCAACTTTAAGGCCACTTAGCTTCCTTATTCAAAAACACTATGTACCACATCAGTTTTTATTTATTATAAGGTACACAAATAGCAAAAGCAAAGCAGTCTAGTTTCTTGGAGGCATAAATTCTTTACAGATTAAAAAAAAAATAACATTCTAGCCCTATTAAAAATAAAACTGATTCAATCAACTCATTTTAGAATGCTTAACTATTTAATATTACCTATTCATAGGTGTCTCTTCTCTCTCTCAAACCCTCTATAATCAATCTACCTGCAGTTTCCCTGAGGGTTACAATGTGCAAGAGAAAGTTTGTATACTTTTAGTTTCAAAAATCTTTTTCCTTTCTGAACCAAAATGCTTTACTTTTAAAGAATTCTAGAACTTCATTTTCACATCCTATTCTGATGAAAAGTCATTCAAAGACAAAACTTTTTTCTTAATATTATAATACATGACCTCTGGTCCTAGAAAAATAATATCTTGAAGGATAAAAGGGCCTCTGTAGCACTTCTATACCAGAGTAGTGAACAGTTTTAAAAGTTTATGTCAGATAAGTGGTTAAAATTCACCACAGTATAAGTATACAGCATCCAAATCACCCTGCTGTGCTATATATTCATTGGTGAGATAAAGCTTAAGGTATGAAGACCAGAGTCTCAAATATCAAAGTAGAAATAGAAGTACTATCGTTTCTGTAATAGTTTAGTTATTATGTTATTTATTTATTTTTTTGCGGTACGCGGGCCTCTCGTTGTGGCCTCTCCCGTTGCGGAGCACAGGCTCCAGACGTGCAGGCTCAGCGGCCATGGCTCACGGGCCCAGCCGCTCCGCGGCATGTGGGATCTTCCCGGACCGGGGCACAAACCCGTATCCCCTGCATCGGCAGGCGGACTCTCAACCACTGCGCCACAAGGGAAGCCCTAGTTATTATGTTAATAAGACTTCATCAATAAGATTATCTTTATCACTAAGTAAAATAGAATAAATTGAGCTGACAAGTTCATTTTTGGAGGGGAACTTTTGTTTTTTCTTAAAAACTAAAATATTTGAGAACCAATGTGAGACTTAGAACTGGGAGAGAATTCAGAGACCATCAAGTCCAATTCCTTGTCTTCATGGGTAAGAAAATGGCTGTTCAAAAAGGTGGAGTGAAGGAGCTACTGGCAGCCATGGAAGAACTCAGCTCTTCTGATCCCAGGTCCACTCATTTCCCACTACCGCAGTCCCAAGGAAGTAATGTTCACAAATAGGCTGAAGCAGAATGGATTATCCCAACAGGACACCTGACTTACAAATACCAAGGCTGTAGAGTCATAAATTTACAAAATTAGTAATGAAATAAAGATGACAGTCCTAACAAAACACAGAAATACAATCAATTAGAAAACAGAGGTGTCTATCAAACTGAAGAACTGTTCACAGGATTCACAGGAAGTTGGGCAAATATTTACACACTTAAAAATTCAAACATTTGACATTTTTAAAAAATGTTTCCCAAAATATCACATTGTGCTTTTAATTACTGTGGTATTATCTGAACCCTGTAATTATTAGGCAATAATCTGTCAGGAATAGCAGATATTACTATGAAGGCTTAATGAAAAATAAACTAACTATACTACCATAATATGCAAAAATAGCTAAGTCCTCTAATACTTACGAGATAGGCCTATTAAACCACAGGACTCCAATCAGCGCCAATTTGCTGATCAGTATATACTTATAGGACAATTCCACCTGGATTTTCTTAAACACTTTAAACACGTCTTTCCTCCAAAGCATCCCTTTCCTTGTCCCTGTCCCAAGTCATGGCATGAGCACTGACCTGCTGGGTTCTCTTCCCACACACTCACACTCACCTGGTTTTTTATAATCCCTGCCTCTTCCAAGCCCAATGCAACTGCTCTGGGGCAAAAGACTTTTATCAACTCTCCCTGAGGGCTTAAAACAACCTCCTAAACGTCCTCCCTGCACCTGGCATCTTCTAATTTAGTTAACCATGATAACAATTTGACCACTGCCCTGGTTAAAGAATTCAGAAAGTTCCTCAAAGTTTACATGATGAGGTCTAAACTTGTTAGCCCTCCATCCTGACAACCCCACCTGTCACACCTTTATCACATTCTCCCCGACTGCACACTAAGATCCAGACATACGGCCCTTCTCTTTCCAAGCACCAATGCTCTTCCATGCATCTGCTTCTGCAGAGCCCACTCTGCCTGGCATGCCTTTAGCACCCACCCTCCTTTCTGGTCTCCTCCCTGTGAAACCTCCTAGGATTCCCACAAGCAGAATTGGCCAATGTGCTTGTTGCACTTATAGTACTGTGTTGAGATAGTCAATTTATTAGTCCACCTTCCCTATGTATTCCCAAAGGGTGGATATCAAGACACAATTAACAAAGTAAGGCTTTCAGAGTCTGTCACTCTACCTCTTATTGGTGGGTGTCCCTGAGGGAGTTACTTAACTTCGTTATCTTTAGAGTCTGAAAAAGTAAGTTAATAAATGTAAAAGACTTAATGCCTACATACCCAGCATGTAATAAGTGCTCAAAAGTTAACTATGACAAGGAAATAGGAGGCAATCGATAAACACTTGTTAGTTTTGACAGCTGCACAGAACAGGTTGTCTCCTAACTTTCATTCATGTTCATTTCATAAATAATTTATAATGGAAAAATGTTAATCTAGAGACAAGCAACATTTTAGTAAACCTAAAGATGTTTTAGCAGCCATTAGTGAAAACCATCACCATTTCTAGAAAGGCATTCTCTGCTTTCAGTCATCCCCAACCCCCCCAAAATACTAATTGTGCAGACTTTTTTTCACATTTAAACTACAAACTCAGCATTCTATTAGTATTCTACTTGGGAAATACACTTTATTCAGAAAAATCTGATGTGACTTCATACACAGCTTTCTTCCCAACACTGAAAACTTCTAATATATGAAAAATTAATCCTCACATGCTGTTGGAGTCAAGAGTTGAGACAATTTAGAAAAAAAAATGAAAATAAACATAAAACAACCACAAAATAATCAAATAGCTACCATCTTTTGAGTGTCTGTTACATGCCAGGCACATGTGAAAAGTCTCACGTAACCCTGGTACCAAACCTCTTATTAGGTAAGTAGTATTTTTATCCACATTTTACATCTGGGCAAATACTGAAGCTTAGAAGGTGAAGTTACTTGTTCCAGACAGTGTTCCAGACAGCAAACTCAAAGTCTCCCAGACTCCTGCGGTCAGTAGCTCTATCAGACTGCCTCCCTCCAAATCCACAGTTCACCTCCTGGACAAGTCTGTGGCTATGGGATATCCTCAAAACTTAAAAGAATTCAGAATCTCAAAGAATTCAGGTCTAAAACTAGTGAAATGCACTATTCTAGGAATGAAAGTGCGCCCTTACATGGAAACGTGATACAGTTTTTCCTCCTACAGTCAGGGCTGCCATTTTTCCATTATGATTTTCCTTTGGAGTATATTTTAGGACGTGACAGTCTCGTACCTAAAAAAACAAACATAAAAAAACTAAGTATGTGCCAGGACACATGCTAACATTACATACCAGCCACACTGAGGCCCATCCAATCCATCTTATCTCACCATACCAACCACACTCTTAAAAAAACACTGTCAAATACTGAATATAACACAAACAGAAAAGTGCATAAAACACAAATATACAACAAAATGAGTATTTATAAAGAAAATATGCATGTAACCACTACACATGTCAAAAATCCCCCAAACCTCTGTGTCTCTTCCCAATTCCCCCCTCATACCCATTCCTCCTCCCCACCCTTTTTACCCCTAGAGCAGTGGCTCTCGAAGTGTGGTCCCCAGGCAAGCAGCATCAGTCACCTGGGAACTCTGTGAAAATGCAGGTTCTCAGGCCTCAGCCAAGACCTACTAAATCAGAACCTCTGTTTTATAAGCCCTCCAGGTGATTCTGAGGTAAAGTCTGAGAAGAACTGTCCTAGAAATAACCACCTCTCTTGACATTTATGGTAATCATTTAACTTTTCATTATAATTACTACCTTTGAAAGTATTGTTTAATCCTATAGTTCAGTGCTGCCTGTTGAACCTTTATGTAAATGGAGTCAGACCACATATACTCCTCCATATTTTCCTGCTTTCACTCAAGATTCTATAGGTAAGGTTCTCCCATACTGTTGTGTGCGGCTCTATTCTGTCCATTTTCACTGTCACCCAGCACTCCATCATGTAAATACACCATGATTTATTTACCCATTCTACCATGATGGACATGGGAGTTATTTCTACTTTTGGAGTATTAAGAGTAATGCTGCTATAAATCATCTGTTCACATTTTCTAGTAACACTCAGGAGTGGAACTGGGAGACCACTGGTTCACGTACCTCAACTTTTCCATAATGCTAAACTATTTCCTGAAGCAGCTGTACCAATTTACAATCCCACCCATCATTCCTAAAAGCTCCCAAAGTTCTGTAGAGTTCCAGAAACTATACTCCTTTCCTTGATCATTCAGAGTCAGTAAAAAATTACTAAGGGCTTACAGGCCACCTGTGCCTGTCAACACTGGAAGCACTTACATGCATGAGGTCTCATTTTACTCCCCATCACCTCCCTAAACGCTTGTCTAAGGCCTGACTCCAATATGAACTGAGCTGTTCAAAGTGGTCTGGGCAATGAAGGTCTCAACTTTATCAGTGATCTTTTTATAATAATGATAAAGACAATAACAGCTAACATTTATTGGACATTTACTATTGTTTTAAATTTTAAGTGCTTGACATTTAGAATCTTGTGCAAGCCTCACAATAACCCTTTGAGGGAGATCATAGTGATTTCTCCTACAGAATAAAATTATTCTTTTACAGATAAGACACAGTGTTCCAAGGAACACAGCTAAAAAATGGCAGAACCAACATTTGAGGTATTCTGGTTCCAGGGCCTATATTCTTAAGCATTAGGGCTTAACCTTATCTCAGAGAACAAAATGCTACTTCCCCAGACAAAAGTGTTACATTCTGAGTTAGTAAAGAGATCAAAATTACAATTTTGAATTGAAAGAACTCCATAAATGAAAATAAGATGGGACTGAGATTTTTTCTGATTATGAATTAAACTAGTAGATCTGTAAGAAGCTAGGTTACAATTTTTTTTTTTAATTAATTGCCCCAGTTATCCCAATGTCAGTATAAAGAAAGCCACCACTCAGGCATGAGTGAGAACATTCACTGACACCATCAGAAGTAAAGCTCTTTTACAGTATCTATGCTCAACTTTACCTCTTCTTCACCACAGTCAAATGTTTCAGGATACAAATATTGCCCATTTAGGTTTGCACAAATAGATCTCAGCACACACATAGATTTGTTACATCTTCTGTTTCTTACCTGAAGTAATGTGACCACATGCTTCTGACCATCTTTGGTCCATAAGGGCATCATGCCTAACTTCATTGCAATAAGGCCTACTCTAGAGGAACCTGGCAATTAAAAACAAATCAATACTCACACAGACTTTTCAACATTTGTCAACACGGTATTTCCTAAATTTTGCTTTCATATAAGGAGCAAGCAGATAAGAAACATGCTGATATATTCATACTGTAAAATACAACTGTTCCTTCCAGATATAAATGCCTTCAGCCATGCCTGACATAATATACTGGTACTCAATAAATCTCTGTAAAATAAAAAATATAAGAAAACCGTACAAAATAAAGAAAATAGTTACACTGATATATTCTGGTATTTAAAATAGTGGTATTAATAGAGGGCATGATAAATCCATCATTATGCTTTGCTTTCCTAATATCAATTCATATCCAACCTCATTAATTAGGGAACATCTACTACTCAAATTCTAAGAAGTTAGCTGGAGTTATTGAGATGACACAAGTGGTCATGTTGCTAAAATATGTCAGCATCCACCATGACACTTAGATTTGTTGCATAAATTGATAAAGTTGCTCCACTAAGAATTCTAGCCATTAAACAATTCAACAGCCACAATAACCCCCAACCAACGGCAACTCCATGAACAGGAAAGGCCTTATGCTTTTTGGTCTGGCCACACATGGATTTAGCACTCTACCAGGCACATAGAGCTGATTCTAGGGTTATGCTTGGCAGGCGTGGAGTGGCAGAATACCCCAGCTACAAACGTCTGTGTGATACATTACAGTTTAGATCACACTCTTCCAGTTTTTCTTCCCTGATTTATTTTATATTATTTTTCATCTGAAGAAAACAAGAAAACGTTTGCAGAACAATTCTCTTTTCACCTACAAAGCAGTTTCTTGAGGAAGTCTTGATGATCATCAGACATTCACTAACAGTAGACTAGAATGCTGGAAATATACTTGCAAACCACAATGAAATAGACACACTTAAGACATGAAAAATAAATTAAAGAGATGATAAATTGATTCAGAAGTCACTACGATTTTTAACGTGCCAGCCAGACAGTAATTAGGCGATGAGAACACAACATATACAAAATAACCACCTGGTTCCCAAGGATGTATAGGCCACGGCTCATCTTTCAGAGGACAGAGTTTACTTGCTACTTGGGCTTTATTTTCATCAGAGACCAACTGCTTAACAAAGGGAACATTTTCTTCAGAAAGATGCTCATCCCACCAAGTACCACTCTTGCCATGAAGACTTCTAACCAAAAGCCAGATGTCTGTTCTGTAAAAATAAAAATTAGAAAACAAAGCACAATTCAAAAGGTTCCCCACTTAATGTACAGAAGGGAGGTCACATGAGTTGGAAAGTGTAGTCAGGGCCTTTGGAAAGGGTTTGGATTCTGTTCTAGTTTTTTCCCTGACATTCCTCATGATAATAATGGGGCTCATATTTCAACTGTTAATAGTTACCCTGGAGGAAAAGTTCTTCCTCTTCTCCTCTGGGATAAACAGATTTCTAACAGAGTAGTCCTATGTAGACAAGAGAAGCCACAGGTCCATTAGAACATGTACGTTAACAGTTTACATCCAGTAGAGGTGACAAAATGTGGGGTTACTGATCTTTCTCTGATAAACCCCTGTAATGACATGGCCTTGGCTCAGAGTGGTGAAGAAACTGGGTGTGCAAATTCTAAAATCCATAAAAGACATGACCTGTGACTAGCTGAACACACCAAGAGAGACCTTACAGGATGGAGGTCAGGAAAGAGATGTGTAATTCTTGCCAGGAGGGTCAGAAAAGAAGTAAATCTTCCTGCGATCTATCTCTTTTGTATGCAGGTAGATACATCCAGGCTAGAGTCCCAATTTTTCACTTATTAGTTAAGTGACCTTGGGCAAATCACTTTTCTCTAAGCTTCCCTTTTACCTGCAAAGCAGAATAATGATAGGACGGGAAAATGATGGTATCTGTAAAACGGATGATAGCAGCTCTAAGGTGAGGCTACATGACGTAAGGAGACTAATGTTCCTAAAAGAACATTACACAGTAAACGCTCACTAATTGGCAGATAATATTATTGCTGTTGGTAATGCTTGTTTTAATGCTCATCAGCATTAAAAAGCAAAAAAAAACCACACCTCCAATCCTTCAAAGGGCACGTCCTTAGAGCAATGATTCTTACTCTTCAGGCCTGCACGGAACCCCCTCCTACCCCACGCCGGGCCAGGCCACAGCCCGAGGCCACAGGTGCAGGCACCACGCCGCACCCTCGTCTGTCCTCCGCACCCACCTGTTCTCCGAGCCCCGGGCAGCGCCCAGGCCGCCCGCGCCGCGGTCCAGCACCCGGGCGCCGGTCCGAGCCAGCAGCCTCCAACCGAGCATGACTAGGCCGGAAGGGCGCAACCCCTTCACCTCCGGGCGCCCCGCCGCTCCGCTTTCAGGGTGTCCCAGCGCCGGCGACCCAGTCCGCAGAGCCCTCCTGAACCGTCCAGCCGGCCACCCCCCACTGCCCTTTCGGACGAAGAGCTAAAGGAGCCACTTCCGGTCCTTTCGCAAAGCGCGCCGGTGCCGAGGTGAGCCCCGGGAACTAGAGTTCCGCCTCCTGAAGAGTCCTACGTCGGGATCGAGTCGGCTGGGGAGGGTGGGGTCTGACTGACTCGGCTCTCCAGGGGTGGAAAAAAAAAGGATGCTCGGAGTTTAAACTTCAGGAGAATGAGGCGAACTAGGGACAGGCTTCCTAAGGAAACGAAATCACTTCTAAGTAATGTCTGTTGTGGGGCAGCTCATTGTACTAAGCAGCGCTTGATAATCTTACATTGGCTTACGTTCAAAACAGCCCTGAAGGGAGGTTGTTATTTTTATATTATAAATGAGGGCACACAGACTTAGAGTTTTGGTGCTGGTCCAAAATAGCACATCCAGCAGATGGGCAGGGTCGGCACTGAAACAGGGTTGGAATGTACTAGTAGAATATGGCCAAGTTGATGATGTGTGACTTCCAGGGGTGGATCATAAAAGGTATTGCTACTGTGTCTTGGGCTCTTGGACGGCTCCCTATGGGGAAAGCCAGCGGTCATGTCCTGCAGACGCTCAAACAGCCCTGTGGAGAGGCCCATGCGAAGAGGAACCAATTTTCCAGCTAGGAGTGAACCACCTAGGAAGGGGATCCTCCGGTCCCAGGCAACCTTTCAGATGATTGCAATTCATGAAAAACTTTGAGCCTGAACCACCCAGCCAAGGAACTCATGGGTTCCTGACCAGAAGAAACTGCCACAGAGAATAAATGATTACTCTCATTTTGAGTCACTAAATAGATACCTAATACACCTTAGGTGCAAATAAACCTAATCACCATGGATGTATCTTGGGCATTCATTCTATTACTCCAAAAGTTTGTTTCCTTCTTGGTCAAATGTGTGTTTTTAGAAATTCAGAAATAAAAACTTAAAAGTTTAGCTATTTCAAGACCCTCTTTTATTCAAGATCTGGCTACCCTAGCTTAAAAAGTCCAGGCAATGGTCAATTCCTGGTAACTACTTGGACTGTTCTCTAAAAATAAAAATTAGAAAACAAAGCACAGTCTCTAAATGTTTGCTTTGTTTTCTCATCTTAGCCTGGCTTCCCAGTTATTTGAGAATAGCCCTATATTGAAAAAGCATGTCTTGAGGTGTGCTGTATGCAAGAAGCTGGGAATAAAAAGGCTTGCCTACTACTGCCAGTGGCTAGCATTTCTTGTGCGTATAGTATGCTATTATATGTGCTGAGTATTGTGGAAGCCCATTAATCAGAGACCACCAGGGGCACGCCCAAACTCAAACAAGGTTAAGTTTAATTAGCTTGCTGCAGCAAGAGAGAGCATACACCTGAGGATGTCTCTATACAAACGAGTTATAAGATTTAGACTTATGCTGGGTGGCATCAGGAAAACAGGGACTTGTTTTGGAATGGATGCCATCAAGGACAATTCAGCATTTGGGCGTCTCAATAATTTTGTTCTGGAGGAACGAAGGAAAAAGTGAGATTGGGGATGATGATGGTGAGGGAGCAGAAATCACTCAGATGAAGGAACTGTTAGTCATTTTGTAGCTGGGGTGTGACCTTGGGTGTGTTCTGTTAGAAGTATTGTGTTGACATTCCATTATAAATTAAACACCGCAGTCTGATTCCTAACAGGATTCATGTTGACTTTTTCAGTGTATTTCCTCACTTGATCTTTATGATAACCCCATGTGATAATACTATAATTATCTCCATTTTACAATTGAGAAAATAAACACAGAGAGATTACACAAGTTCACTCAACTAGTAAGGGCCAAGATTTAGATCTCAGCAGTGTGCCCACAGAGCCTGTGCTCTCAGCCATTCTGTTTCTTTGATTCTGTAAGACAAATGTGTTTTTACTCTTCTGTTGGAATTCCTCTATCACTAAGAGGAAAATTGGTAAGTGATCCTATCACACACTGTGGTCTGTGAGGCCTGAGGACTCAGCCATTCAGTCTAACTTTGCCCCTAGTGCCAAAACTCTCCTGGTCCATAATGGCAACCTTGAGTCAATGAAATCCTTAGCAGACGCTACGGCTGAACTGAATCAAAGCAAAACATGCTTTGTCTGCTGTCACACAGCACACATCTCCTGATTGCCAGCTGGGTCTGGGAGGTATCATCTTACTTGATTTTGTCACTATGGAGTGCTGCTAATTCACAAGGACCAGTCCAGTTCTCAAGCGACTCAACAAGGTCTCCTTTAGGGAGCTGAGCTCGAGCTTCCCAGCATTTCTAATGTCATCCTTCAGAGACCTCCCTGGACCCTGGGGCACTGATATCAGCCTCTCTGGGACTTCTGTTTCTCCCTGGAACAAAGATAGCCCCCATTATCTCCCTTTAGTGCTACCATTCTGTAATCCTTGCTCCTCTAATTCAGACCAAAGCTGATGTAATAAATGTTCACTTCTGAATTTCTAAAGCCATGGCCAACAAAAGAGAACCATCTTAGAAGGAGTAGGTTTCAAACCAAGGATTTATTGGAAAGTATCTTTTTCATGTGTTCCCGCCTTTAGGCCCTTCAATTAGTTCTTACACTGTTTGTGATATGTCCTGTTTGGTTGGCTGCTTGCAGAATGATACATTCTTCATTGCTGATTAGTTTATATTTTACATTCCTTTATGCTATCTTAGCTCATAACATACCTTATATTTGAAATTAAAAATTGATTTGAGTTTAGACTTCTAATTAAATTACCCTTGGCTTTCTTCCGTTTTTCTAAAGTTGTGAGAATTTAGCATATTTTAAAATTGGTAGAGATTTTATGAAAGTTTGTTGAGCATTAGATGGGGAATAGATCAAATGAACTTTAGGAAATTTTGAACTTTGAGATCCCATTGCTAATTAGAATAGAAAACTTAAATGGCCATATGGCAGAATCAGTAAGAAGACGAATTCTGCCTCAATGTCCTCCAGTAAGACTAAATTACAATGTTCAATTTCAGTATAGAGCTTTTAAAAACATAGTTTTTTATTTATAAATCCTAATTCTCCCACAGACTTTAGGGTTCCAAGAGCTGATCAGCATGGAAACACATTTGACTTGAAGCCTAAAAAGGAAGAAGAAAAAGAGGAGGAGGAGGAGGAGGGGGAAGAAGCAGCAGCAGCAGCAGCAGTGTGACCATGTGGTGATGTGGGTTACAGTTTCCCAGCAGTCCGTCCTTATACTCAGAATGGTTCTGAAACTTAATGTAATTAAACCCATATACATTTCTTTACAGTCCTCTGATGGCTGAACAAAAATGTTGGCGGCAGACAGTGGAGCATCACACACCCAAGGACAAGATGCTTTCCGTCAAGGGCGGCTCCTTCCCCCTGGTCTTCTCCAGATGCTGTGTAGTTTTGATGGCTGGAGTGTAGCTCTAGACCAGTGAATACTCTTGTTATCTGGAGTCATGTTCGTGGTCCTGTCTGAGCCCAGAAGATACAGAGTCTTGAGAAATTCTAGAGAATGAGTTCATTTGGGATTTTGATTATAGTTGGAAAGGGTCCCAGAAGAATGAGACATAACCAACACTTAAATTGTGCTAAGTGGCAAGCACTGTTCTAAGTGCTTTCCAACTCACTCCTCACCTATGAAGTATGTACTATTATTCTCATCCTCATTTACAGATATGGAAATTGAGGCACAGGGAAGATAAGCAGCTCATCCAAGGTCACAAATCATAAGTTTATCAAGTAAGCCATGGAGCCAGGAGTTGAACCCAGGCAGGCTGACTCCAGAGTCCAGTGCTTTACTGCTCTGTTGCACTGCCTCTCACCCAAGAGAAGAAAAATGTGCACCTGAAGGGTAACAGTTGAATTATTCCTTGAGGGGAGAGTAAGAGTCCCCAGGAGCAGAATAGAGAAAGGACAGCCTAGGAAGAAAATATAGTTCCAGTTACTATTGCTGGGTAATAAATCACTGCAAACTTTTTGGCATAGAACAATCACTATTTAGTTTTTTGTATGCCTCCTGTTGGTTGAGAATTCAGAAAGGGCACTGTGGGGACAGCTTGTTTCTGCTTCATGTTCCACTGAGATGACTCAAAGACCAGGGGTGATGTCAGCTGTGGGGCCGAAATCATTTGAAGGCGCCTTCGCCTCATGTCTGGTGTTCGATGCTGCCTGTCAGTCAGGACCTCAACTAGGCTGTTCTCTGGAACACCTATATGTGGTCCCTCCATGTGGCTGCTTGGGGTTCCTCACAACATGAGGTTTGGATCCCAAGAGCAAGCATCCCAAGAGAACCAGATATAAGCTGTGTTACCTTTTATGACCTAACCTCAGAAATCTCATGTCATTACTTTGCTTCAGACACAGCCGGCCCAGGTTCAAGGAATAGAGACCCATGCCTCAATGTGAGCATTGAGTCACATTGTCACATGGGATGGGAGACAGGGTTGCCACCATCTTTAGAAAGTATAGTCTGCCACAAACACCATGAGTGTGTCCATGTGAAAGGATAGAATTGCATCTAGGCAGTTGCAGGGATTGATCAATTGCTGATTGACCGACACTGTGACAGGTCTCCCTTGTGAAAATGTTTCAGATTATGCCTGGCTGGAAAGAAAATAAGATTTATTCCAGATTTTATTCTGTTTCCTAGTGCAACTTTTTGGTAAATATCTAGTATTTCCTCTATTCAGAGAGACAAAGGCCAGGCTTGAAGGACTGTGGGTGTCCAGGAAGACTTGAATATGACCCAGCATGAACAGCACGTTCTGGGACAGAAGAGGAGATTGACCATCAAACAGGCTGAGCCACTGACCCTAAATGCCCTTCAATTGGTGCCTGTGCCCCCTAGTTGCAAGGACTGGGCAGCTGAGGTGGGTCCAGGAGGGGTGGCTGGCTGCAGGGGCAAGGAGGGCACTGCCAAGCTGCTCAGGGGTCAGGTAGTGACAGCGGTTCCTCTCTCTGTGGTATTTAGACTCCAACCAGGCCTAGCAGGATTGTCATGGCAACTCGCCTGTCTGCGCCGCTGAGCTGAGACAG